TTAGTCAATATATATATGTATATATAAAAGGAAAACGACTTTCAACCTTATAAAAGCCATAAGTTCCACGTCCAATTATACTTTTCATAGGGTACTAAATGTGACTCGAGAATCGGTCATCAGCTTTTCAAGAATTTCCAATTCAATATATATATATATATATATATATATATCCAATCCAATGCAAGGAGCTGACAAATTCATATCCTAAATTATTTGCAAACCACAATTTTGAAGAGGTGTGCACTGGACTCTGATGAGGTACTTTGTGGAAGTGTGGTGTGGGGAGACACTTCAAGGATTCAAGGACTATTTTAGAAGGTAATGTATTATTGGTTGCGTAGGAGCTCAAAAGAGGCCATAACCGGAATGCAATTCTATTAATACGGATACTGATTGACATGTCCTATAGGGGTCTAAACCTTTACTACTTCTGGGAGGTACACATGAAGAGGGGACCCTTGATGACACAACTTGATGCTGATATTTCAGGAAGATAAGGGAGTGGAAAGGAAAAATTCCATCTTTTCTTGGAAGCAAAGAACGTGACAGAATCGAAAAATAGGCAAAAGAGAAGGAGAGGGCGCTGCCAGCCTAACGATGGTTACATTTCTATCAAGGAGAGAGTGCTCACATTTCCTAGTTCTCATTGAACAGAAGCTCCCAACTTTTGGCTATTGTGGCTTATTACCCTTTTCCCACTAAAGCTCAAGCCATCTTATCTCCCTCTCCCTCTCCCTCACACTGGTTGGTTAGAATTATTGGTTTACACCGAGATGTGTACATAGTGTGGACTGTGGAGTCCATCTTTCATTTTCACCATTCCTGAAAGCAAATCAATTCAAACTCCCGTTTTCTGAAGTGGACTGCAGCATGCATTGCAGGGGACCATCCTACATTCCCATCCCAGGCCCCTTTTCCTCTTTAGAAAGTTACAACTCCTGCTGTGCTACTCTTACTTGAGGAAAAGCACACGGATAAGCCGCCTGAATCCTCCCTCCCTCAGGAGGCGAGCACTCGAGCACGAGCACGAGCACGAGCACGGCCATTAATTTAGTCGAAAATTTTTCTATTCTAACTTTCATGAGCACGGTAATTAATTAAATTAGTCAGAGGCGACGGTGAAGTTTTTTATTCTAACTTTTAAAGCTTAATAAACGAGGCGTGTAACGCGTCAATAATTTGTGACCAAGATCAGCTACATCATATCGTCTGATAAATTTTTCTCGCCAAATTTTATTTTGATGTTGCATTTATACACAGAACAGAACCCTGACTGAAGCTTCGGCGTGGCGTCGACCCACACTTCATCAATGCAATTATTTCTAATGCATTGGAGGCCTGAATCGATAAGGCCCCTGATCCAAAAGTACATGACTAGCAGACAATTTAATCTTGGAACATCTACCCGGGGAACTACCAAATAATTATCAGAGAAAATTTCAGCCATGGAAGCCCAGGATTTGAAGAATCAAGAAAGCCCCATCGAAAATCATGAATGAAACCACACATGAAACTATGTATGGTGGGGTAATGAGCCACAGTCACCTTCGTGTGTGCCCACGTGCACGCACAAATGGGTAGCCCCCTCCTGTGTTAATTCAATATATACATGTCTCATTGGCGGTATCTTCTTCTTTCTTGCAACAAGCCATACGGAGCTATGTAATTGTATATACTTGTTGCAGCTATGAATGCATGTGAACCAAATTATTGAGCCCTTCTATTTTGGACCCACAGTTCTTTTAAGACAGAAGGAAACAAAAAAAAAATTTATAAAATTGAAATGGGATTCTTGATCGAAGAGGGATCATGAGATGAGATGGCAACAAAGTGAATGCAAGTTCTGTTTTGAAAACTCAGGATTGAACTTTTCAAATGCAATATTTTTCTTCAGATAAAGTTTAATAAAACACAAAAGGAATCATATGATTGATAAGCTGTGGATGAGTAAAGAACTGAAGGCAGGCATGAAGGGAAAAAAAAATGAAAATGATAGTGACAATAATGGTGGAGACCGTTGCAATGATGATGGAGGTGATTAAATTCTGGCATATTTTATCATTTTGATATTCCATTCTGGATGACAAACCAACTAACAGGCGAAGCATATACAGCCAGTCTGCTGAGGAGAAGAATTCTTAAATACATAAAGATGCAGCAATTGCTAGCCATTGAAGCCATCAAGAAAAAGAGGTGCTCATTTTCACAATGTAAATTTTCTAGCCTCCTCATATTTCATGGTCCCCGGACCAACTTATATCAAAGAATGAATGTGTCAAATTAGTGATAAATCAATGAAATGTCTGCTTCAGATTCTTTCTTTTTTTCTTTTTTTTTTTTTTTTTTTGGGTGAAGAAGTTGATCGTTGTCTTGACAATTATGGACAACTGAAATTAAATTGCACGTTATTTGTAAATGTCTCATTTTGCACTTGGCAAAGAAAAGACGTCTTGGGGATAAGGGTAGGTCATACAGAGAGAAAAGTCATGTACGGACACTAGGCATCAAAATTGTGAACAGGAATGTTGGATGGATCGACCTTAAAGGTTGACTCTGGTAATAGTAATTTGTTCTGTGCCACCTAAAAAATTAATTATCTATTACTGTTGGAATTCTTCCCATTGTTGGGTTGAAGATTCAAATCCTGATCTCGCAATTGAGAACGAGAAGGATCTCTGTACCACTCAATCCATTCTTATCCGATATAAGATTAATTAGTCGAGTTATTTTTTGCATATAATTGAAGATGTATTAGTATTTTATGACTGAAAAGGGTTCTTAGAATTCTCTCAAAAATGTCAAATTCAGGATTCGAATCTTGGTACTGGAAAGGGCTCTTAGAATTCTCTCGAAAATGTCAGATTCAGGATTCAATCTTGGCACGACAGTTGTCGTGAAAAAGATGTCAACATGGTTGGAAGGTCAAAAAAAAAGAAGTACAAAATCAATTAGTCAAGTAATCGGGGATATGAGGGAAACAAGAATTATAGCTCGCCCTGCTCTATCCTGTGCCATCACGTCTTGAATCTTTTTACTTTTCATTCCACTTTTTTAACTCCAACTATTCAAGAAACTGGAAGAATTTGTATGCAATGACGTCTTGATGTAATTGACTAAAAGCGCCGAATTTGAGGCTGCCGGCGTTAATATTTAGGCCCTGCACAATAATGCCTCGTTGGCGTACATGCCTTAGTCCTAGAAACATTTCGGTAATGGGAAACTATTGCAGTGAAAAGGTTTCTTTCTGTCCTAAGCTGTGGGACTTTCCTTAGTTTCTCCCAAAAAAAAAAAAGCCATAAACTGGACCCCTGCATGCTATTTGCTCTAATGGCTGCTAGAACCCAAGAGGTTTATTACAAATTTTGCTGCCCAAAAAAAAAAAAAAAAGGCTGTAATTTGAGGAACAAAATCCTGTCCGATTCCATATTGATTTGCTCATGTAAACCGTAGATTGCGACAATCTTCTCTTCCATTTTTTCAACTATGTTTTTGCAGGGTTTACCTGCACAAGTTTATTCCCTGAACACAAGTTGTAATATGAAATTAGACATTATTATACAGTAGCATGACATTAAAAACTACAGAGTTGTACCATTATTAGCAAAAAATAATGGAGTGAATGAATACTTCATCTCACAATTTCTAATCAGAATCAAGATAACAGACATGATGACTTAGGAGACCCTACCTTTCTTGTGCATTATTTCTTCCAATTAATGAATTTTAGATGCCAAAAACCATCAATCAAACATGGAATCCCGCAAGGACATGCTCTTCTGTAGTTTGCTTGTATCTCCTTTCCTCCTAGTACTAATTTCTTCAACAAAAAAAAACAAATGCTTTTAGAAAATTAATTTAATCAATTCTGATTTACAAAAGTCCAAATCGTGCAGTCTTCTGCAACCACTCAACTTGGCTTGCTGGCTTTACTTATCCTCCTCCGTTAGATAATACCACTATTTAGTCAAGTCTTCTTCCTCCCAATTCATAATAAACCACATACAAGATTGAAGCAGCAAGTTTCTTTTTAAATATAGAGAAGGGCATTCTACAATGATATCAGACCTAAAAAAATGAGTAGCCTACTGTCTGAGTTGCCTCGAAACCACATTGTAGGGCTACCAATCTAAAATAGCACTATCTTATTTCTGCAATTGTTTAAGTGTTGAAAATGGTAAAATGCGTTGATAATGCAAGTAAGTCAGTGTATGTAAATAAGGTGCAATCCAAACACATTAGGTGTTTTCAGGGTAAAAAAAAAATGGTGTTTCCAATACTATAAAATTGTATTGAAAAGTTTTCAGTACTAAGAAATACAAAATCACTACTATTCCTTAAAGGGTAAAATTTATAATCCCTAATGATGAATTGCACTTGTGGAGGAGTATTCATTGATTCTTTTGGCGTTCCCGCTAATTGGGCATTAGAGTATTGATTGTCTTGAGTAACTTAAAAGAGTCAAAGGCACAGAATCAACTGATAAATAGTTCTAGAAACCTCAGCGTTAAACTTGAGGCAGAACCTCTGCCAAACTCTCATTTGCTATTTGATCATGGGTGTCAGATATTAGTACATATTTTTTAGGGGCTTTTCCTGTCACAAAAGGATAAACTTGTTGACAATTAGTAATTCTAGGAAAAAAAAATTGGATTTGACATCATGTCATGGCATATTAAGATTTTATCAAACATAGAATTTTGATTCAATTCCAGCTTCAAAACATGCATTTGTAATCCCAATTCAAAATCGACAAGAGACTACAGTTTGTTGCATCAAAACTGTCAGCAGGCACAGTTAGTCCATAATGGTGATGCCCTGTTGAATCCTCCTCTTGTATTCTTCATTACCATCCTAAAGTAAGCCTGTTTAAGCAAAATAAGAGCTACTCACAGTAAACTGCTGATTGATATGGAGATTAAAGGAAAGATGCCAGACCAAGAAGGTGGCGAAGCCGGTACCTGTTGGATCCTCATGAAAAGTGAAAATCCAGGGAAAACTAATGCAGAAATGAACCACCCCCAAATATTACTTGCATTTAGCCAATTCATGTGAAACAAGTAAATCTTGTCTCTCATTTCATTTCCTGTGCGAGTAAGTGTGACGTACATCCACCCTTGTAACTTACTCACCTATTGGTATCTTTATTGTCTACATGGCGATACACAAATCTAAGGCTGTAACTAATAAATGGGAGGTGAAATTTCTCACCAAGATGATTATATCAATTGAACTAATTTGATAATCTCAATGAGCGAGCATCTGGCCTATTTGAAAACCAGGTTGTGACATGTTTTATCACATGGATATGCACAGTCGATAGCCTTGATGCCTGTCCGATCAAAATACCAATCTCCAACAGCAAGTGCAATGCCCTGCATGATTTAGAACATCAGTTGAACAAAACCCTTTTAAAATTTTTACTAAACAAGAATGGTAATGCCCGCAACAGATCTCAGTCAGAGGAAAAGTGAAAAGGTAAAAGATACTGCAGATGTACGTAAATATGAAAATCATGGAGCATGTAACGTATGCAAAGTAATTAGCTAAGCAAGACAGAGAAGTCTATGAGCCCAATCTCCTACTTCCGATGAACCAGCAATAAAATCATCGATGTGACTCCTGATTTAATTGAGGAAACTCGTCACCCCATGCTCATAGATACTGTTCACTTAGCGTCCTCCAAATTGCTGCACTAGTGTTACACTTGGGATAATAACTTTCATCTCATGGTTCCTGATTTTCAGATTCAACCGTAAGTATCACAATCAGATTAGAAATAATCTTCTGGAGAGTCATTACTATGAAATTAAGCCCTTCCTGCAAATATTTTCATTAGACTACATAAATGTGATTCAATTTCACCAAGTTATCATTCATATGTTCATCTTTTCTCTCTGCTATACTTAATCTTAAAGTCGGTTAATACATTGAGTATGACACGTGCTATTGTTATCTTATCCAAGTCATTCCAAAATGCGACTTCAGTCTAATGCAAGCATTTTCATCGCAGCAAATGAGTCAAAAAAGTGGATGCCATAATAAGACCTAAAAAGTTAGTAGCCAATAGCATACCTTGTTGCCAATAGCAGGAGAGTCATCTGCAAACCATGTATCCTGCCTCTCTGATTGGCAATGAGCAAAGCAGGAATTTATGAACAACCCATTTTGTCCGGACATTGCAAAGCTTCTCACGGAATTTAGCATACGAATCCTAAAAGCTGCTAACAAAGAACATTGAATTAGTATTCAACCCTGCATCTCCAAAGCATCTAAAGCAGCTTCAGTAACTCAGTTGACAGAGGTTACCTTGCAGGAATCGGATCTGTGAAGCAGAACATTTTGCATGGTTCAGTTTACAGTCATGCCAAGTTCCATGAGGATCGGCTGCAGGAGGAGCTAAGCTAGCCTGGACCTGAATAAAAAAAAAATGAGAATGCCAAATAATTAATTTCTCATTCCCATCATTCAGAAAAATCTGCACCTAGCACAAGAAATACTCATGACAGAGGTTACATTACCTGCCATGAATCATAGGCAGCATTAAGAATAAAAAGAGGAGTTTTTACGTTGTCAATCAGGTTCTGAGGGAAGAAGCACTGAAAAAGAAAACGAAAATCAACTGTGAACTTGGAAACATGAAAATTCTCTAGTATAACAGCATTGCCACAATTGTGGCAGTAAAGATGAAAAAGACTTACTGAAGTTGGATCCCGATATCTAGTACACATACTTGGCAGGTTCTTGGCAACACCCTGGCAAAAAACGGAAGACCATTAGCTGAGTCAGTTTAACAATGAAACCAAGAACATAACTTCAGAGTGTGATCTAAACAGGACTTGTTCCTGATGTTTTATGTTTGTTGGAGTTATTTTCACAGAAACTTGCCACAAAGATGCAGAGTCTGAAAAGTCGACAGCCTTCTTTTTTTCATCACTCAACTTATGCATGCAAAATTTTTTGACTCAGCTTAATGTGTTTTACAACCAATTTGAATTTAACTTTTGACTTGTGCAAAATATGATACATATAAGTCCCTCCAAACAAACAGTAATGTTCCACGTTTCTACCAACCATCCTCTTCGAAAGCTTTAACCAAAATTATCTCCTCAAGGATGGGAGAAACAGATATGTAGCCCTAACAACTTCTATTAAACATTACAACAGGTATTGCAAACAAGAAACTGTGAAAATGTTCAATATTCTACCAGAAGCATAAGAAGAATGAAACTTTCTTAAGATGCTAGTCTTAAAGGAAATGATCAAGAAATGTTTCATTTCAAAAATACCTGCAAGTTAACCACGCCAGCAAAGAAGTTCCTCATGCTGTGCCCACCAGATACATCAATCCTACAAAAACACAATATCCAATAAAGAATTTAAGAAAACCTAATAGCTGCAGAGATGAGAAAATGGAACTTTGACACAAGAAAAGAGTGAATCAAGAAATTGACATTACGAATCCATAAACAATCCAGCATCGCTCAGGCACTTCACTTTAGTACTTGATGGAAACAACTCACGGAATTCATCACAGTGCAATATAGAAGCTAGACCACCAGCAGAGCATCCTGAAAGAAGGGCCTAAAACATAACTAAGAATTAGAAAATATAGAAGACCATAGGATATCAGAAAGGAATGTGCAATAAGATAACATTCCAAATCAATACCCTGTCAGCAGAGTGCATTCCCTTTGACATCAAATCTTCCATTGCAGCACGCCAAATTCGTTGCCCTCTAAACTGCAGCTGTGCAACCTGAATGAAGATAAGATTGTTACTAGTATAAATTACGAACGTCCACCCACTTGTACGATAAACTGAAGAAAGAATGATTACACGATTCCTGTCACAAGAAGAATGTTTAAACCATGTAGCATGAAAAGCCCCAAAAGGGGAGTAAACTTCATTTGGCTTAAAATCAACGATGCGAGCAATTCTCCAAGTCAAACACACAAGGTGCCTTCAATAGCAGTGGTTAACGAACTCCTCTCTCTGGTTAGTCAGCAAGCTCATAGTAATGAAATATAGGGTGAACATTGCTTGTAAAGGGAGTCCAGGGCAAACATTTTAGGTACTTTATGCATTAGAAAATGATTAGCAGAAAGCAAGTCACAGTGGGAATACCAAGTACGTCAGTGTAATTTCAAAACTTAGTTTTTTGTTCTAGTTCATTGATTTACTTGAGTAGTCCGCACATGTAGCAATATTGAAGAAAAAAAATTTGAAGACAAACATGCGATCACACCTTATCTTCACCCTCCCCTGCGAAAGAAGCTCCATCACAATAACGAACCTTTATTCTGTTCCAATTAAAAAAGTCTGCAAATGAACCAATTAGTAAGAACCATGCAACAACATGTAATCCATGGAATGTAAAGCAAGGACAAAGAAACATAGTAGAGAATACAAAGCAGTAAGTATATCCCGTGCAAAATTTTGGGTGAAAACCTGGATTTTCTTCTGGTTTATTGCTGAGTATTCCTGTAAAAGGTATCTGCTTTTCCATATGTGTTGAAGATCCACGTCTTGTTGTTTTCCTGTAAACACATGATCTAATGGAGTTGCACCATCCTCCACCCTGCCACAAAATCTTGAAAATTCAGAATGTGGTCTAACCACAGTGTCAACTTGCCGGGATTATTGCAGCATACAACCAACTAAGCACCCAAGATCCCAGAAAACAACTAAAGAATAATAACAAAGAATTTGCTGCTCTTGTTTTTTTGAGTGAAAGATGAGTGTACAGTTATACAACCCTAGCTTGCTGGAGAACACTAAATAATTGTAACTGAAAATGGGTACCACAATATTTTGGATAATTCGAGTAACTGGGAAGAAGATGGAGACAGTAAAACAGTCGGGAAAAAACACAATTAAAGCATAAGTCTAGTTTAGAAAACAGAAGATACCGCACAACCTGATGGAGTCTATTTTAGGCTGATAAACTAAATTATTTGTAATTGAGACAAACAAAATCAACAGAAATAAACATTTATAGACCTGAAATTTTAACATTTTTAGGAATCCATATTACTGTATCTAAATATAAGATGTCTGACGAACCTCCAATTGAATAAGCCAACTGTTTGCCCCTGATCCAAATCCGCGATGAATGTGATAACCGGGTAGTGTTCCATCCAAGCACACTGCAAGAGTGAAATACAAGAAAATTCTTCCCAGTCAAGTTGCTAATGCTACAAAGAACCTTCTTCTCAAGAAGTGCTTTAACACGTTCTCCAAAACTGAACCTCAGTTTCAGTAATAAATGTACAATATATTTCCAACGGTAAAGATTTTAATCTTCAAATTTTCAAGTTTTGGATTGCTGAATTATTCCAAATAATATTTCGCTTGCATCATAAACACTTGTTCCAATCCACCTTTTTATATTTCCAATTATTTTTTTATCTTACATACATTACATCACAAAAAGTACTACAGTAATTATTTTAAATAATATTTCAAATAATACTCTGTCCAAACACAGATTGATATCCGCCCACTGTTTATGAAAACAGCCCAAAATCAAATTTCAAGAAATTACGAAACGTGTTCAAAATGAATACGTATAGTCCAACAACAGAACCATGGATGTGAATAATGACATCTATCTGCTCACCAGTCACCATCATCTCATCTACAACCGAGACTCATATCTTGAAATTCGTCATGGTAATAGTAATAAATAAACAAGAAGACAAAAACCTCTTCATCATGTCACTTTACTAACTTTCGAGCCAAAACAAGTGGAAAATCATATCAACAAAGGAAAAACAGATTTTGAGACCAATAATAACAAAAATAACAAATAACAAATAACAAATGAAAACAGATTTTGAGACCAATAATCTGGAAAGAAAGAATCACATTACAATAACCTGACTTAAGATGGATAATCTAGCAGATAATAGCAAAGTCGGAGATCTAGAAAACATATCTACTTACCCAAGAAGAAAAATCCTAACTGGGAAAGAATAATAAGAATGCATTATTGCATTAATCAATTTCAGCTTATAGCATATATGCTTGAGGAAAGAAACCAACAATCAATCCATCACAAATATGAATAAGGACATATTTAAATGTAAAAACAGGAAAGTTTCTTGCTTATACTCAATTAAGACTTCCAAACCAGAGAAGCAAGGATAAAAACATAATCTAAGAAAGAAAATAAAAAACCATAGCAAGGAAACTTGTACCAGCCCCTTGAGCAGCAGCTCCTCGAATAAGGGTAAGGCCAACCATAAGAGGCTTAGGAGCAGCATAACCATAGCCAGACTCCAGGAATGATGATAAATTCTCAGTTCTGTTGTAAAACAGCTCATCAAATTCAAAACTTTCTACACCCCACCCGCTAAAACCAAGACCAACAACAAATATCACCACACCCCACAATCCCATGAGCTGCTGATTCCCCATGGCTCTAACTCTCAAGCTCTAAAACTCTTTCTTTTTTCGTTTTCTGAACTACCCAAATCTTGTAAAATAAATAAATTTAAAGAAATGGTTTTAGCAAACTTCTGTGTTTTTTTTTTTTTTTTTGCTACTTTGCTTTACAATTTGGAGCTCTAAATGTCGAAATTTATGTACCAATCACAATGACAAATGTGTCATGTATTGGGAAAAGATTTTGACAATCTTTTTACAAGGAAAGAATAAGAAGATAATTTATAGTAAAATTTTCCACCTTCCAGGACAGGGGAGGTGGGGAGAAGGGACGGGAGGACAGAGATTTGGTATGTGCTGTTGGGGGCTTGGGGGGGGGGGTGCTGGCGCCAGGGGTGGGTGTATGCCTGCAAGGATCTAAGGAAGAATGACTATGCACAGGGGAGTGAGCAGTGGAGATATGTTTTGTGGGGCTAGAAAAAAAATTTTAACTATTTGTGCATGAGAATAATTTTTTGATGTTCTAAGAGTGTAAAGTGAAGACAAGAATATTTAGGGAAGGTTTTTTAATTTCATCTTTGCCCATTTGAGGTGGTAAAAAATTTCAATTAAATACTTGAAAATTATGATACCTTATAATTTGGCCCCCCAGACAAGAAGGCTGAGAGTGAAATTGGACCTAACTTATAAATTTAGTTGTTATTATTATTAAATGTCTATTGGAGAAATATGACTTTATGGAATTTCCTTGTTTGAAGTGAAAAGGAATACCTTTACGTTATTTTATTACCACAACGTTTAGTAAGAATACCACATGCAATGAAAAAGTGCTAAATGTGCCGATTTAAGTCCGTCTTTAAATTCTGAAATTTCAACGAAATTTCAACCTTAACCACTAAATCAAAACCTTCTTGACTAAATTAAAGAACTTTTACATATAACAGTCCCAATGAACTTTAATGAAACCACTATAATGAAACCTTTGACGAACTCTATTATTTCCTTACTTTGGTTCTTTTTTTTTTTTTGGTTGCTAAATTTATACTCACGGCTTTGACATGAGGAATAGGAAAGTTTATTACTACAGAACCTCTTTGGGTTGGGAGAAAAATGTAGGACTTCTTATTGTCGTTTGATGGGGCGAATGAGGCGATGTAACATACTAATTTTGTTCTTCGACACTCGAAATATGGTATTCTAAGGGGGATTCAACTGGACCTATAAGAGATCGACGGGAACTGAATCACCATCGGATCGCACCTGTAACAATTAATGGGAGACAAGATTTGAACCCTTAACTCCCATCTCACAAAATCTAAAAGGCTTGATGGTGGCCAGCTCCTGTGTTAGGAGTTGGTTGTATAACATACTAATTACTTGCCAAAATATTAAAGAAGTCATGGGGCGTCATTTTGTTTCACATTCCGTGGTCAATTAGTGCGTCTTTGAATTGAAAATTTAAACTCAAGTAGATTCGCTTGAGTTATAAATGCATCATTACATATGACAGCTGTATAAATACGAAGCAGACGAGAGAAAAGACAATTTATGGACAGAGGATTCACAATCCCTATCTAGCCTTCCTATTTTCTCATCTCCCCTATTTCCCTTTTGTTTTCTGCCTTCCTCAAAAAATTAAAACTATTTTGACAATATGCAAAGTAAAGTATATTATAAGAGCAATGTTGGTGCAATATTGCCATTCACAAATACAGAGTTTTCTTTTCTTTTCGTTTTTTTTTTGTGAGAATCGTAATAGAATTTTACAAAAATTAATTCTGTACATTTATGTTAAATTAACTTGTAGTTTTGTTATTTCTAGTGCATATTTATTTTGCAATTAGTGCATATTTCTATGATGTAAGTAAATCAAATCACGTCGATTTTCAGCAATCTCGTGAATAAAATTCGCTTTTTATTCCCCACATGGAAAGTAATCGGGGGTTACCTATTCGGCCGTCATATGACCGCAAAAAGACAAGTGAACCCCCTTAAAAAGACAAGTCCTTAGTCATCCGTGTATTGCTCAAATACACATCAAAAGGTGCTGGAGAAGGCTTGGTTAAGTCGAAAGGTAAGAGATTCTGGGTTCAAATCCTCTCGCCCATCATATAAAAATATTGGCTTTCAATTTTGATAGATAATTAGATGCTACATGGAAAACCATTTCCAAACAATTTTTAAATATACTTTCCGACCATCATTTTAGTTTTTAGTAATTATTTTATCTCACAAATATCATATACATCATATAAAAAAGTGATACAATAAATTAAAAAAAGTTATCGAAAATTATTTTCAATCTTAACGCACTCGTCATTCTAGTGGAGAATATGAAGCATGGATGACATCATCGTCTTTCTTTTGCAAGAACCAGAAAAATCAATATAAAAAAGGCAGAAATTGAGCGGTGGAAGTGTAAGTGGGATAAAGGGGAACGAAATGCCGCTAGCTAGCTGTCCGATCTGGAAAGGACCTCATGATTATTATCACCACAAATTGCCGTCACACCACCATTTTGATTTTGATATTCACGTTATCATGAATTTTTGTGATTGATATGCTACTAGTACATGTTAAGAGTCGGGTCTAAGGGGTATTTCGGAATTATCCACACTAAACCCTTTAACAGGGCAGAGTTTCCCGTCCTAAAGATACTCAGTAATGGTAACACGTGGAAGTCGAACTTGAGACCTTACTCTAACTATAGACGATCAGTCCCAGCAGACCTACTCATGGGGGCCTTCTATTTATAATCAATTTGATAATTTATTTTGGCTCATTTGATAGTAATTTATGGACATCTTACGTACAAGAAATTTAGATTTAAGTTTTACGATTAAATGCATGAAACATATATAAGATTTTATTATCAATAGTTAGATAAGCGATTTATTTGGAAGGAAGGAATAAATTGGATAATTTGGAAGGTGGGAGTATAAACGGAGATCTCAAATTTGAGCGCGCTACGAATTTCCGATTCTCAGCATGATATATCCCCACTTTTTGGCTGGATAACCTTTTAATTCCCGCGCCCATAAAATGTGATGCGGTGTTGGTTTACATTTTCCACAAATCTTAAAGCCTGTCTGGACTGTTGGTTTTAGAAAATTTTATAGAAAAATGTACTGTAACAATTGGATATATGTAAGATAAGAAAGTGATACAAAAATGTGTTCACCAAAATCATAAATTTTTTTTTTTTTTCAGAAAATGACGAGCGAAAATTGCCCGTGCCGGAGGGACGGCGTTCTAGCTCCTAAAAAGCTGAAACAGCAGAAGCATGTGTCGTGTTTTTGTGTTTCTCCGTGACTTGCGGTTTCGGTTGTAGTTATTGTTGTCACATGAATTTTTCTTTCTCCTTTAATTGCAAAGCAAACCAAACTTACGGGTGGCTTTAAGACTAAGAATCCGTTTGGATTGTTAATTTTTTGAAATTTTGTAAAAAAAAAATTAAAATAATTTGATGTATACGAGATAAAAATATATTTATAAAAAATGTAAAAAAATTTTAATAAAAAATTTAATGAGTTACGTGAGACTTAGTTCAACTTATGAACAAATGAGTTTTGCTTTTAACATTTTAACAAAAAATAAGTAAATAAAAACTTACAACCAGATAATTAACGCTCCTTTTCCTTTTAAGTTCTACGAAATATTTGATAGATATTTATGAAAAGTTCTAGAATAATTGTAAGAGTCGAGTTGAAATGAGGTGGGTAGTGGATGAATTGCAACAAAATGTTCAATTTTCGTCTATTATGGATGCAAATCACGATCAAATTAGGATGGAAATTTGGATTGAATGTGCTCAGATTGATGATTATTTGTAACAAATTTATTTGCTTGCATCGCAAATTTATTTTTTTTTATCTTTTTTAATCACATATATATTTTATTATAAAAAGTGCTATAATATTTATTTCAAAAAAATCGTCTATGACATACTTAGTTGACATTTATATTAAAGTGAGATGCATGGGAGATGATGAGTCGATTTCGACGAATTGTGGCCAATTGAATTGAGATTTTTGAGAGTTGCGACAAGTTTTCCAAACTACAAACCGATGGAGTGTATGGTTCCTATGTTTTTGAATCAAAATTATTGTTCCTTCTCCAAGAAATGCATATTATGGGGGAAGGCGTGAGCAACATAAAGTATTCAGTTGACAATTTGTAATATTTTAGTAGTATTACGTTACATTCACGATTTTACCCAAAAATAATAATAATAAAAAAGAGCACAAAGATCCCACAATTATTGAAGTAATACAAACAAACTACAATTGAACAATAGTATAAACTATATCACAAATTGCCTACAAATCAAATCATGGAGTAAATACTAACATAAAGTTTTAAAAAAAAAAAGTTGCAAATATATAGAGACTTGAACTAAACCTCTCGAATTTTGCAAAGCTTTTTTTCCCTTCTAAGTATTGGAATAATGACTCAATCGGTCCAATTGATTGATAACCTGGTCAACTCGAGAATCTTCTAGCCTCGGGGATTTAATCATTAGATTTGAAGGAGAAAATTGAAAAGCAACTTAGTTCAATCCTCATGTTTTCTTTCGTCAGCTGTGATGAGCATTGCCCTTGAAAAGTAATTAATTAATGAACTTTGGGGAGGGGGCAACATTTATTAGATACAGAGTGAAATGATTCGCAGTTTGTCCTCAAATTTGGCCAACAAGACCTGAATTATCGTCGTTGCTGCTGCCCCCACAACTCTACGTTAAATGACTTATCTGATGACAGATAATTCACTACGTAAATCAGATCATTTTCATTTGCTTTTTTTCGATAAAAAAAAAAGATAATTTTATGCCAGTATCTACACTAATGACAGCAAGTAGATCAAATATGATGCAGATATATATATATATATATATATATATCAATATCAAATTATACAAAATTTAGATTTAACTTCCTGATTTTATTTTTGAGATCTTCCAAATCCTTAAAATCATCAATTGAAAAAAGACGGAAAAAAAAAAAGATTCTCACAAGAATATTTTAGGATGAAATTAAACTCTCACTAAAAAAATTTAGGAAAGAAGAATGTTTCAGTAGAAAATCCTAAGAGTGAATAATTTCCCACTAAAAAATCTTAAAAGAGAATTTAGTTAAAGAAAGAAAATAAAACTAGTAAAAGAGCCTCCTCCTACAAGGAAAATACCAAATTTGTTACGAAACAATTTAAAGTATGAATGTCCCTTTGTATTTTCAAGAGAATTAATTCATGATTTATGACTATATTATGTATAAAAGTTACAATCCATAAATCTACTCAGAGAAACTGTTTCATAAGTTTTTTCATATTCTTGTAATAGTAAGTGTTTAATAGGATTGA